ACCCAGGTGTTCTAAAGTGACCTCTCTTTTACATTCTAAAAGCAATCTGTTCCCTAATATTATTCACTCCAACTATAAATGTCTTGGAAGAAGTACAACCGGAATGCTCCTTAGAAGGAAGGATGGCGAGACTACGTCTTACATACTTTGGACATGTTGTCATGAGGGATCAGTCCCTGGAGAAGGACATCATGCTTGGTAAAGTACAGTGTCAGCGAAAAAGAGAAAGACCCTCAATGAGATGGAGTGACATAGTGGCTGCAACAATGGGCTCAAGCATAGCAATGATTGCGAGGATCGCACAGAACTGGCAGTGTTTCTGCTGTACATAGTGTCACTATGAATCGGAACCGACTCGACGGCACCTAACAACAACAACAACAACATTGAGAGGCGTACATACATCTCACACACACACACACCCAAACTCCACGTGGTATTTGCATTAGAAATGCAAATTTCTAAATATAATAAAAATACCCGAAAACTGGTTAAATAAACTATGATACATTCATAGCATGGAATGGAACTTACCCATTAATAATAATGAAAACCTATTCTTTCTTAATACAGACATAACCACAAGATACTGATTTTTAACAAGCTGATTTGTTAAAGAGCATATTATTGGCTGATAGAGTCAGGTTTTCCATTTATGTTCCAGAACACATAAAATGTTTGGGCCAATGAGAATCTCAACATGTAAACATAACTCTTACAATATTAAAAACAAAATCTTCCCTTGACACTGTCTTTTCATCTCCACCTTTCCTTTACCACAAACATCCATACTCTTTCTCCTTCACCTTCTGTAGCTCAGTAGATTTGTCTTCTGCACCTAGTACTTCAGTGCAACTGTTTCACTGAAGACCTCTAATTGACAAAACCTATGACATCTCTTTAGTACTTCTACTATCACAGGATTTATCCTAGTAACCTTGATGTTATTAATATTCTTTCCTTTAGCAAAATCATATCTTGCAGTTTTTCTCCTATCCCTCTGTCTATTCTTTTCCCATCTTCTTCCATTTGTATCTTAAATGATGATATAACCTAGGGTTGCTTTTCCTCAACCCTCTTCTCTCTTTGCTCCACATTTTTACCACGGGCCTGCAACTCAAATCTAGACATGAAATATCATTCATTTATACACTAGTGATTAATGACTGCCCTATTTTCTTTCAGCACTAGCCTCAATCTTGCTCCAGATGATCAGATCCAAGTTTCCCACTGCTTAGCTCATATCAACTTGGCTATTTAAAAGAATATCCCTTTCAACTTTTCTCAGGTAACAGTATCATCAGACAGCTAGCTACCAACCTAGAAAACCTGTGGTCAGTATTAACTCCTATCATTCCCTAGCCTTTCACATCTAATTAAAAACCACGTGCCAATGATTCTATCTCAATTTCATACCTGCACCTCCACTCACAGAGCCTCTACCTTGGAGGAGATGTTCCTTTTCTCTTTCTTGGCCTATTATAACAATTTCCTAAATGGTCTCTTTATATCACACATTCAGATTCCTATGTATCGTTTTTTATGATAACTCTAGAAACAAAATAAACCCTTATCTTGTCACTCTGCTGTGTAAAAGGCTTCTCCATGGGCTCAACATTGGTTACAGAATAGAGTCCAAACCTCCTCGCTTGGCTCACTAGACCTGTCACAACATGGCTCACATGATTTCTCCATATTCATCTCTTTTGTGCTCCCCTTTGCATCCAAACCAACAATCAAACCACATACGTTAAGAGGACCTAAACAGGACCAATTATTACTTGCCTCCATGCCTCTGCATGGATGTTCTCTTTGCTTGGAATATTCTTCCATTTTCTTTGCCTAATAAACTCTTATTCATCCTTTGAGAAGGCTTATTTGATGCCATCACTCTTTTGCAGCCCACTGTACTTGATTTGCGTGAAGCTTCTCACCTTATGAGGCCTCCTGATTCCTCTTTCCCACCTGGCTGTAAGCTAGTTAAGGTGGAATTTGTGTTCTTATTAACTATCTGAAACTTTGTTTTGATAAATGATTATAAAATGTGAGGTCAGAGGCCATGCCTACCTTGTTGACCACCCAGGTTTTTTAAAAATTTGCAAATGAAGAAAGTGTAGGAGGAGAGAAGGGAAGAAAGAATATTCCAGTCCCCATGAATCAACCAGGTTCAATCACTGATCTTCCTGAAGGTTAATATGGAAACCATATTATCGTTGCAGAGAAATGTGATACCTTTGAATATGGTACAGGCATGGGTCTATGGGCTCAAGGGTTCCTCTGCTAGGAGGCAAAATAACGAATTAGATACTCAGGGGAGGCCTTACTTATTTCTCCTACTTCTCAACCTCCTCTTGCCCACAATTCCAGTATTTCATTTAGAGAAGTATATACATGTCTTCAGTATATAACCACTGGTTTTAGAATCAAATAATAAGAAGTTCTAGTTTCTACGGCAATGTGAAGATTATCTAGTCCAACTACATTTTTATGCCTAACTTTCTTGAAAGCTTTCCTACCAAGATACCCATACTTCCCATTAAAGCCAATGGCTTTGGACATAGTCCAAACATGGGCAGTTCTATTTGGAAATTTTCTTGCAAAAAGGCAATTTTTTTTCTCTTCAGCTTCTATCCATTTCTTTTTTTATTTTACACACTCTGAACAACACAGAATATAGCTAATCCTTTTTGCATGTGGAGCCTTCAAATATATACAAAAAACCAAACCAAATCCATTGCCATTGAGCTGATTCCGGCCCATACAACCCTATAGGACAGAGTAGAACTGCCCCATATGGTTTCCAAGGAGTGGCTGGTGGATTTGAACTGCCAACCTTTTGGTTAACAGCCAAGCTCTTAACTACTACACCACCGGGCTCCTCAAATATATAGAGGGCATTAATAATCTTTTTAAGACATATGCATTTCTAAACTAAACTTTACCAGGCCCTCTGGACACTCCTCATGTAACATGACTTCTAGTCCTCTCACCAGTCTGGTAATTCTACTCCAAATGACATCCAGTTGTACACGTTTTTCTTAATGTTTGGTGCTGAAATAGAGTGTGACAAACTCAGAGAGGAGAAGAGCTTAGTAGGTCCATTCTAGATCCTCTTTTCTCTCAATGCAACCTAATGTTGAATTCACATTTAGGACAGACATTCTACCAGTTTTATGTTGAGCTTCTGTTGTATGTTCAATTCAGATTCCTAAATTTTGCGTTAGTTTTAAATTGAACTCCTAAGCCAAGTCTCCCCCACCCTACAGGAGTTTGGAGCCAAGTAAAATATATACAGAACTAATTCAAAGAATAATAACATAGGGCTATTCTTTGAACCATTTCTTTCTTGACTAAGTTTTATGCACCGACTACTTCAGAAGATAAACAGAAATGGTTCCGAATCACATCAGAATCTAACAATACGTATCAGCAGAATCTAACAATATATATGTTCATACAAAACTTATAAAGGAGATCCTGAACAAAGTATGTGCAGGAAAAAATAGAATTAAAATTTGCAGATCTAGAAACAAGTATGATCTTTTCTGTATTCTTGAAATGAATCCTAGGTTACTGCAAAGGTAATTCAAAATTTTACGTGCATGACAGAACAGCATCTCTCAAGGTTTATTTCAAGAAACATCAGTTCCATGGGATGCTAAGAGATATTAGTGAGGAAAAGAAAAATACAAGATTAAATAAAGTTAACATATTTCCGTACTGAAAGACCTTTCAAGGTCTTAAATTTGCAAATGTGATTTGTGACGTCTTAGACCTGACAGAAGATTAAAATCTTCCTAGAATGTACTTAAAATTCATAAATCACCAGACTTCATCCTACAGATTCTGATTCAGTACATCCAGAATGAGGCCCAGGAATGACATCCTTTGAATATGTATCTCAAGTAATTCTGAAAATCTAAGACACTGCTTTGGGAAACTCCTGGAATTTGACCATGAGCTATTTTTTTTTTTTTTTATGGAGAATCTGGTGATAATAATTTTCTAGCATATACACTTTAGGGAACAGTATGCTGGATTCAATACTACTTTGGCTGTCTAGAAACTAAAAGCACCATAGGGGTCATTTTTGAATTCTGAATGGACTGGAATCTGGAGTTCATTTTTATTTTTATCCCAAAGTTTATCCAAGAAAAATATAATTATGTTTTCAAAATACAGTAACCTGCCTAAATATTCCGAACATGTCTGCTTCTCTAAGACCACGTTAAAAATGTATCCTACATAGCTAAAAGACGGTTTGTCATGGTAACATTTATCCTGGAAGCAGGAACAATGTAGAATAATTATCCACAGATGAAGGCACACGTACTGAATTGATGGAAAAAAATCTTAAGAAAAATAGTTTTCAGTAAGCAAGATGCCAAGTTTGGGATGACTCTTCACTAGGAGTTCCAACCTAGTAAGCCTAACGTTTATTTGTCATAAAATTCATTGGGAAAATCAATTATCATTATTTGTCTCCTTTTACTTAAAAGTATACTTTAAAATTTCATCCTGAGAAATTTTGTAATTTGAGGAGGCAAACATTTAGATTGGAAGAACTTAACACAAACTCAAGCAAAGAACAATCAAAACTTGACAACACATGAAAATGTCACATTACTTTCACAACATAACTTTGCTCTTCCAAAAACAATATACAGCTCTAAAAGACACACATATCTACTTGCAAACAGCGCACACACAATCATTCTGGGAACAGCCAGCTACTATACATTGCACATCAACTAAATAGTGCAATTCATCTAAATTATTACAGGACAAATAATACTTGCCCTCCCTCTCTCATTAATATTCTCTCAAGGGATGGCTTTCTAAAAAGAAAAAAAAGGAATTCATAAGAATTTCATAAATCTAATATGAAATAACAATTAAATGCATAGCTGAAATTTAAAAACAAACACTTTAAAAACTGTCTAAATATATAGATTTTTCTTGGTAAAATATAGGCAAGCTTCTTTTTCTTTTAAAGGTACCTGTAAAATGTGACTTCCCAAATGTGCTTCAAATACTTCAATGGCTAGTGCACTGGGGCTTCTCCTTCGTTGTGCACCTATAACTTAAAAAAAAAAAAGGTGGGGGGAGGAAGGAAGGAAAGAAGGAAGCAAGGAAGGAAAGGAGGGAGAGAGGGAGGGAGGGAAGAAGGAAGGGAGGGAGGGAGGAAGGAAGGAGAGAAAAAAGAAAAATTAAGTTGGAGCTCAGATGTCACACCTTCAGTTTAATTTATCTCTAATTACATTACCAGTTAGTTACTGTATCAGTGAGCTTTGAAAGAGACACATCTCAGTGGGAATTTTGATTCTGAGTTGTCTGGCCAAATTTTCAACTCAGAATATCAACTTCTAAAAACATTAAAAAACCACATGCAGCTTCCCCCTTTTTTAAAAAAAAAAATTTTTTTACTTTGGACTGTTTTTCCTCTACTGGATCAAAACCAGACAAATACTGAGATTGGTTTAAAAAACTAATTAGTAAACTATGTTTCCTAAAATTGAGATAGATATTGACATATTATAGCATACAGACACTGCCTGTTGCTCCTTCAGAGAAACCTAAATTTTCCATATTCTCTAAGCTATCAAAAAACCAGCAGGAAGTTTTTGTTGTTGTTGTTGTTTTAATGCAATAACTTTATCACAATTTAATAAGCACAGCATCTTGGCTATTATTAAGTTGCATTAAGAGATTTTCATTAAATGACCATTTGCAACAGCATAAGTGTTTCAGGATGGCTGGATTGAGTTTTTACTGAATACTCACGTGTAACTATTCCTATAAAACTTACGAGAAGCCCAGGTGGTCCCTTACCTACATGTCCGCCATCCAGGTTGGTGACTACTCCTTACTTGGAGTACATGAATACCCCTGTTCTCCTACTAAGAAGCAGTCAGTCCTCTTATCTGCATACCCTCATGCTTTGACTGTAGGTACCTTCCCCACAATCCTTAACAAAAGTGGGCTTAACGCATGATGTTTACAGGATACAAGATTGAGGGTCTTTTCCTTATACATCTTTTGCGTGTGGCCCAAATTTGCTTTTAAATCTATTTTTTGTGCACTTTTTCTCTTCTTCTTTTTTTAATTCTCAAGATCATGAAAATTGGTTTTATTAACAGTAATTTATAAAAGAAAATATTTAGATGTTTTCTATATTTTTTAACAAGTAAATTCCCCATGTCTTCCTGCTTTCCTTAAAAAATTTTATTACAAATGTATGCTCCTTCAAACCTAGATACTACAAACTAAAAATTAAATCAAATTCCCCAGCTTTTGTACTTCTAAAAATACTTTTAGCTAGTTGACAAGAAAATTCCAGCAAAATGCTGGTGGGATAATTCCGTTTCGTTTCAGTTACTGAGTCAGTCAGTTGGATCCATAGTTTAGTAGGAATTATAATATAAATGCACTTATGATTATTGCATCATGCAAAAGAAGAGCACTTGCCCCTGCAATTGTTAGTGTCTGCAGTGTCTGAAAGGCACTTTGAAAGTGCCATGAGTGTTAAGTATCATTATTACTGGCAAGAGAAAGCAAAAGGAGCATTTTTTTTTCCTATGGAAAAATTTATAAAGTATAATTGAAGTATGATTATTATCAAAGAATATATCAGCTAGAAGGGAACTTGAAGAGCTCTACCCCAACCTTTTCATTTATTTCAGAAGTAAAGCACACAACCAATAATTTTAAGATAGAAAAATCAGTTTTTCTCTCCTAAGATTAATCTTTAACGTAAGTAAGGACAAATATTTTAAAAGTTTAATACTCAGATATACTTAAGACAGTATTAGTGTGTGTGTGTTTCGGATTAATTTCCTATTCTAACATGCACATTACTCCCTTCAAAACTCTTTTGGCAATTTTGATAATGCAGCTGTCTTGCTGAATACTGTTTTCATTTTCTAGAGTGGTAATTGCACATTATGGTAGCTTGGTGCGAATGATCCCACATGAATAAAATCTGCAGTTATTTTTTTTTTTAAGATTGTGGGATGGGGAGTTTTTGGGAGGGAGAACAGGGAAGTTGAAAACTTTCAAAGTGTCCATTTGTGCTGGAGGCAGTGATTATGATTCAGAAAGCTCCTTATTAATAGTTCATAATTTGGGAGCACTTCAGGACTTCCAATTACAAAGTTCAAAATAAACCATTGCATCTTACAAAAGAAAATGGACTGATTTTAGAGAACATAAACTATTTTAGAAAGCCCTGGATTAAGAGGGGGATTCTAAAACATCATAGCTAATGTAAGGAGAGCGTTTATTTACTAGGAGGTTTAGGAGGCGTGCTCTAGTAACAACAGATGATGGCCCAACTGCCTTCTACAAGCATGGAGACAGTTGCCTTCAATAAGGTACTGTTGGAGTTAGACAAGCATGGCCACTGGCAATCTTTCTGTTTCTGCCTTTTCCCCACTTGAAGTTCAGCCTCTTCTCTAAATAAATGTTGCAAATAAAAAAATAAGAATTTTATTTAAAGACCTTATTAGTTAGCCTGTGGCTCCCACGTCTTCGCCAGAACGTACATCCACGTGTCCTACATGCATAGTTATTCTCCTTTGTTCTTCAAATCCTCTAGAAATCTGAGTGTGCATCCCAGTGCATGTTAGCATAACACATAAGTAACTTGTAAGTAGTTTCATGCTCTTCTGTTCAATGGCATTTTTATGGCACTGGAACTTCTCTTGATTTATATGTTTTGCACTTATGCAGGTGATGTGGGGCTGTAATGACAGTTCCTAATTTTACAACCAACATAAATATGTTAAACAAGAGCCCATTATGCCCTGGTAGTAGCCCAGCTCTAACACTAGCATTACTGGTAGCTGAATAGATGTTAAATATGTACTTCTTATTCTGTACTTTTTATCCAGCTATATTTGGCATTTTGAGAACTGAGACAATAATCTGATACCTCAGGAACAATGCAAATACAGTTATTTTGCTTCTTCATATTAATCTCCTTGAGTATATACAGTATCACTGATGTCTAAAGAAAAATTTAATGGGCATTTCCACAATGAGGCTCATCGCCCTCAAAAAGGTAACACGCTGCTTAGGAAGCTCTCTCAGATTGTGGTATTTTGGAAGTTGACAGTTTCTAAAGCTACTTGGTATCCCAGACACTGTGTGCACTTGCTGCTGACTAGGTCATTGTGTTTAATCTGATCTACTGACATATTCCAGGAATTCGTTCAATTAAAAAAACTACTTTTTGAAATTTAAAGAACATTAATTAAATTAACCACACAATACACAGGATATTGCTAAATCTAAATAAACGGAATGTGTGATTCCTTATCACTAACTCACCGACATTGAGACATGAAATTTGAGCTGAACTGGTTTACACAAATTGCTAAAAGAAAACAAAGATCAAACCATAGTAGTTCAACTTAAATCTGATTCAACAAACATTTACCAAGTGCCTATGTGTGAAAATAGCTAGCTATTGTCAAGTAACTAGTGTTATACAAATAGTTAAGCATTGGACTAATAAGTAGTCTAAAAGAAAATGTTAAGCATTTTCATATAAACCTAGGTCCAGCATATAAGTATCAACAAACTCCATAGCACTATCTCATGTTTTACAAGGGTTAACAACAAAGCACTGAGAGTTTTAACAGACTTTAAATGGAAGAGATAAACAGGGAGAAGGATTTTTAAAAAATTACAACTGAAGAAACTGTGATCGTCCCTTTCAGAAATCCTAAGTAATATGGCAAATCATTCGGACTGCGCATTTGGCCTTTTTCTCGTTAAGTAGAAGACACAGAAGGAAACCACAATCTGAAACATGTATCTGAAAAATTAGTTTGTTGCTCAACAACGTCAGCAAAAATGTTCTAATATAGCCTCTTCAGCATAACCTCAAATTGTGGTCTCTGAGAATTAATTCAGGGCAGTAAAAGACAATCACTCTTTTGGGAAATAAACCACACACTCCCAGTCATATTCTTAAGCAGTGCTCGTCACCTTTGGGGATGCACAAACGTGAGGAAGGCTGAGGATTAGAGCTCAGTGGGAGTTTGACCTATTCAGCCAAAAGGTCAGCTTGCCACAGAAGAACCCATTACAAAACAGAAACAGGACAGCTCAGTGGACACACATAATGAAAGGCAGAAAAGTCACGAGCCCTACATGCCTTGTGCCCTGCACTGCCCTTTTCCTTTGTAACCCACCCTGCCCCCATTACCAGAGCAGGTGGAGCTGGTCCAATCCCTAGCCAGAACAATTCACAATAGGAAGGTAGACCACAGGCAGGGAGAGACAAAGGGGCTCTGTATTTAAGGGATTACTTGAAAAGATACTAAAAAGTAAAGATGAGTATGAAGTTGAGAAACATTTTCCAATGGATTGTTTTATTATGGAAAAGTAGTCATTGTCAGATAGAGAAGAGCATTTTAGGGGTATTTTCTCACTCCCACCACTGCTCCCACAGTGGCGAGCAGTGTGGTACACCACGGACCTATGTTGCCTTAAAGTTCCATAGGTAGAATTTAAAGAATGGAATCAGCAGCCAAGTGAAAAGCCAAGCTTCAATGCCAGGTCCGCTTTCAAGCTATTATTCTGATGGTGGCCCTCTGAATCCTTCCTCCAAGGGGCAAGGATATGTTCCCACTGAGTTTGGGGGAAGGGAAGACTGAAGAGCATGCTAAATGGAATCCCCGGACATCAATTCCTAGGCTTTAGCAACTGGGCTAGGCAAAGTCAGGGTCTGGGAGAGAATGGAGTCTAGAATGCATAATGAGTCTTTCCATGGCTACCGAAGAAAAAGAAAAGGGATTTCCCTTGAAGAATCTCAATTAGCCTCCTTCACTGTAGGGCCAAAGAAGCCAGAGAGGGTTTTCCCAGGAGCCTCAGAGGTTTATAAGGTATATGTTAGTGTGTATGTGTATGTGTGTGTGTGTGTGTGTGTGTGTGTGTGTGTTGCGGGGGGTGTATTTGTGTCTGTGTTTCCCCATCAAAGTAAAATTTGCTACGTTTGCATTTAATATGGGACCAAATCATCATTTTGAAATGGGTCCTCATAGTTCTGTCAAATGCCCACACTCACAACTTGCA